CCAGAAGACAAACAATCCGAAGGCAAAGGTACAAAAGGGGCGAAGCAGAGAGTCAGAAACCGAGAAACGAAAACAGTCATACACAGAAGTCAATCAGAAACAGCAAACCAACACAGCAATACCAAAATACAAAGGTTGAGCAAGAGCTCGAGCTAGATGTGACCAGCAGGCTTTATCCTCGTCGACCGGAACACAGGGCCAGGGTCAGAGGTCAGAGGGCGGAAGGGGCGTGGCCGGAAACTGGGAGGCGGACTGAAGCAGCAACTGGCGAGTGGAGCTTGGGGCAGAAGGCTGAGGTGTCCTGTAGACATATCCAACACCCTTACGGCCCGTAACATTTTATAGAAAATATTGGAAGAAGCGACAGCTCAAAACCCGCTGATATTTACACAGAGCTCTACACAGCATACATGTACCCAGACATCGTCAAGCACAAAAGAGTGCATTTGTAGGGAGTCCTACAAATATTAACATAGCATATTTGCAAAAATGGTTTAATCCCACCACCCCCTTCAAAAAATATCAGTGTCCCAGTTTTTCAAAAATCAAAGGTGGCAACACAAGTTAACGGTGCTGAGTAAACAGCCGCCAACTTGCCAACTGTGCTTACAACGCTGCTATCTGGCTTTCATAGCTAGCTAGCGCACAGTCACATCACTGCACTTTAGGCTATGTGAAGCCTACAAAGAAAAGGGAAATGAGTAATGAATGTATGATGCAATATTAAGCAACCAAAAATGCTACATGCTATGAATGCTGAGGGAGAACAAGACAGTGCCTGTGTTTCTCTGTTCTGTTCTGTTCTGTTCTAACTAGCTGTTCTTTTGCAGCCACAGAGAGTCAGGCCAGTGATGCTAATGAGACAGGGGCAGGAATGATGCTGATAATGCAGGGGCAGGAAGCAGTGAAGAAAGGACAGCAACAGGTATGTACAACATTGTGCACAGTTTTGGCAGTGCAGTGCTGTGCTGCAATGATAGTATGTAAGTTTGTATGTGAATTATTGTTTGATTGCCGGATATGAAAATATCTGCGCATGTATATGCAATAATATACCATAGTTATACAGCCATGACATATGTATCACAGTTATCGTACATAGACAAGAAAGGGCTGTACTTATGGGTACATGAAAGAGACAAGAGAGGGCTGTACTTCTGGGTACATGAAAGAGACAAGACAGGGCTGTACTTCTGGGTACATGAAAGAGACAAGACAGGGCTGTACTTCTGGGTACATGCCAGAGACAAGACAGGGCTGTACTTCTGGGTACATGCCAGAGACAAGACAGGGCTGTACTTCTGGGTACATGCCAGAGACAAGCTTGGGCTGTACGTCTGGGTACATGCCAGAGACAAGACAAGGCTGTACTTCTGGGTACATGTGCTGTCATTCAGGATCGCATGTTTGATATTATCGATAATCTAGATATTTTTTGCGGCCATAAACGATAATGAAAATTCAGATATTGGCCCAACCCTAGTTTTCAGTTGATTTAGAAATTGCACATATGTAATTGGACATAGTTGATACAGTTGTTGAAAATGTCCATTGACATTTTGCTACCAATAGAAATCTTGGGTCTGATTCAGCATTTTGTCTGCCATTTTCTGAAACTAGAGTAACTCGTATATATCACGTCATATATTGCATAAAATCTAGTAGATACTACAGATATGCTTCTCATACTATAATAAATTTATGACATGCGACATTGTGGGCAGGATCTGGGATCACCGGCAACTACTGTATGGGAAGCAGGGGCTATTCTAGCATTTGCCCCTGGGGGGGGGAGCAGCCACCATTAAAGCTGTTTCCCACACTACTGGCCAAGCAGTGGGTGTGATGTACTGTATATATGGGAATACAGGACTGGGGGACTGAGACAAGGGGGCTAATGCCCCCATTAATAGGATCTAGGGCATTGCCTGTGATAAGAAGCTGTAACAATCTCCATAGTGGCTGTACAGAATATAACTCATCCCTGGTGTTCCATCATAGGCACTGTGGTGAGGATCTTTTCAGTCTTTCATTTTATATGATGTATTGGCTCACTGATTAAAAGTGACTCCAGCGCATTACAAAAAACATTCAAACCTCTGGAATCCTCACAGCAGACACAGGAGAAACAGCCTGGATGCTTGGTTAATGAGCTGACCTTCTGTATGCATTCTTCAGACACTTGGATTACTTATGATGTGAATAAAGGCTCAGGGACAGCCTGCTAGCTCAGCCTTTCACAGGCAAAATCAGGGCATCTCTTTCCTTTCCTTTCCGACTGAAACGGACGGCACTGTTTGCACCTAAGAAAATATGTAGCCCATGCTACAAGACAATTATTGAGAACCTACTTAGTAGGTCAGCAGCATGGCTGAATCACTCTTGAGAGCAGATTTAGAAAAAAGACCAAAGGGCACAAGTGCTGCTTCTGAAATGCTTCTGTCAACGGAAAATGCCCATTAAACTCCCTTGGTCCATTTATCATGCCCCAAAACCCTTTCTGAGTTTACCATTAGAGCCTGTCAACATGCTCTCCTTTTTTAGTGATGTCACCTTGGATTTATCCTTACCGATGACATATTGAGTGGAATGTGGAAACTTTTACAGAGTAAAATACAAAACACACAAATCAAGCAATGAAAAGATATGGATAGCTTTACAGATTTATAGAAAACAATATGAGTATACAGATACAGTATTGAAACAATGTTATGCCATGGTACTGCTGAGTTCTTGAATCTGAAGAGCTGTTGATCAGTTCTCCATAGTCGAACATGTTGTTCTGAGCGGGTGGATCACAGTAATGAAATTAAATGATGATACTTTATTGTTCACCGTGGGGAAATTCTCTTCTTGCCTGCCCGTCTTGACGTTTCTGCAGAGACTTGGCTCAAACCAGCCACCTTCCGATCACAGGCACAGAGGCTTAGCCCACTGAGCCACACACTGCCCCCCATTTACAGTTGTAAACTGATGTGTGATTGTAATCATTGATTCACACTAACATTGCTATTGTGACCAGTGGTCAGAGCTTTAGTGCCAAAATGATTTTCTGATGTAATGCACTTGTAGTCTGGACAAACTGGATTGCACTCCTGTTTAACCTGCCTAACTAGGATAGTACGCGAATCCCATTTACCCATAACGCAATTGGATACTAAGAGGTACTGTACATAAATCTACATTAATCAAATAGCTGAATACATGTTCCCACATATTTTGCAGTCTGACAATCTGACATAGCAGAAGGCAATTTTGATCTAATGGGTGACTTATGGTCTTAGCAACAGACTGTTTTTGAAATAAAGACAGTGGCTTTGGTCATCTATACATGTTAGATAAAATGTAAATATGTTTGATTAAATGTTTCCTAGTAGCAGAGTTTGACAGTATGTAATTATTCAGACCGTCCAGACATTACGTTACGGCATATGGTGTTTCAAAGGTATTTTAAACAGCAGGGTTTGGGGGGGAGGTGGGTCCCAACATACAGTTAAGTATCTGTATTACTTGTTCTTCACCCCTATTTCCAGTAGGTTGCCTTTGTCCTTTGTGGGACTATTGTATCGGACAGACATTCTATTTGGCGAACTTTCTATTTTTGGCCTGCTGTCTTGATAATCATAGAAAAGACATCCAGCAAAATATTCAATATATGTTATTTATTTCTGTTAATGTTTTTAAACATGACAATCGTGCTTTCTCAATACAACAGCATCTACAGACATTTAGTATTTTTTACAGTTAGAAATATACAAAACAATATTCTTTTACTACACAAAATTTCTATAATTATTACCTTAATTTATATTATATATTTTCTTCATCTCAGTAAGATATGTCTTCAGGTTTCTGAAGTAGATTATTATTATTAATCAATTATTATTGCAAAATACGGATTACGAACATTAAGACCAAAACAAGGTTCATATGAACATTCACAGGAACATATATTTCACAAAGTACAGTTTTACAGCAGCTTCCAAGAAAACTGCAGTGGGTGACTTCATAGAAAATCCACAGAACATTTATTCATTGCACAGAGTTAAGTATTTCTGCAAAGAAATTACTAATTCAACCATATCCCTGCCACTTTTAGCTGCCATAATAAAACAAAGAATCATTACCTTTATTTAAACACAATGGTATTGTCATTAATATTGTGTGCTTTTAAATAATTTAATAAAATTGGGGAATATAATCAAAGGCCATATAATGTCTCTCTAGAACAGTGGTTCTCAAGCAGGGTGCCTCGGAAGCGGGCCTGGCGTGTTGTGGAATTTAGTCCTAACATGCCTTAGTCAACCTTTTCATGAAAGAAATGGATAACATGTTTTACGTGCTGTAAAATGTTTTTATTAGGGCTGTCAGAGTTAGGTTTTGGAACGTGTGACCCTCGGATATGGCGGACTACTGTATTCATATTTTTTAGATATCAAAATATTAATATTCTTTTTCCAATTCTCACTATGAACAACATTTTCTGTGACATAACAATAAAAACTGTACCAGATACACTAATGGTGTATTTGGAGCCCTGGAGGGGCCACAGACAGTATTATTATTATTATTATTATTATTATTATTATTATTATATATTGTTTGTGCGCACAATGTACATTTAACTCACATTTAACTCACATTTAACTGACATAGAAGGAAGGGGTATGATTTATGGGTGCTCACTGAGTTTTGAACTCATGAGTATTGCACTGTTAGCATTTGTTGAGTTACCGGAGCATTGTTGATGATGAATTAAATTGTGCTTTATCTAACGTGCCCATGAAACACTAAATCGAGCTCACAAGAATGTGGTCAGAAAATACAAGACTAATCGTGCCCTATATTGGTTCAAAACTGGATACAACATTTTATTTTTTTAATATGGAGTGATTGCACAATATATGGGATGTGTTAAACTCTAATCTTCACATTTCCCAAAAGACTTAATTGCACGACTTCACTGGCATGTTACTTTTACACAATAAAAAACTATCCAAAAAAAATGAACATTTTTATTTACAATGTATACACAGGATTAGCTACAATCAACAATAACAGTATTTACAAATTGAAGTATTGTTTCACTTGGAGTATACCAATTCTTTGCCGACAAAACAAGGAATATTGCCAAACAAGTCATTTGTCATATAATTAGGTTTACCTGATCTGTGCCTGTTCATTCATGTGATGATGTGACACCATTGACTATACAGGAATGGACTAGGGGGTAACACAGCAATGATGTACCTTGGGAACCTCATTATTATGTGCTGTGGAACAAAAGGGTTTGAGAACCACTGCTCTAGAATAAACTGCATAGTCCTATGACTCTACTATACTGTCTATTGAATCTATTGCTTGAATGCTGAAGGTCCTCACAGTGTTAATCTCTGGTGGTTTTTTAGAAGACATTTTGGTTGTTTACATCCTTTGATCCTGAAGAATGGCAAGCATGTTACACTAAACATTACTGTGGGACTGTTGTACTGGGAGTCTGGGTGTGCCTCTGCAGTGCTGTCTGACCAGTTTGGTTAAGTCTCATCAAATGTGAGATGTTGCATGTTGCAGATCAGTTTGTGAGATTTTGGTCCTTAAATACTTTAAACCTTAAAATAGAAAATGTATTTAAAATTTGCACAAAAAATTGGTCATACATAGAGTTATTTATTTCATTAGACAATCAATATAAATTTGTAACAGTCTTCCATAAGCATCACCTAGCGGTTCTAAAATTGTGTGAGACACTTTCTCTCTCCTGTATACACTAACAAGGTGAAATCTTGCTGGCTATGATAATAAGGAGGCTTCCCAAGATTATATGGCTAGCTAACAAATATTGTCTTGGAATAGCATGATATATGCGAGTATACACAAAACATTGCCTTGGCTTTCACACAGTCCTGGGTGTAGAAAAATTTAACTTCTGTCATTCATTTTTTGCTTTTACTTACTTATTGATTAATACATAAATTTCCTTGTGAGTACTATAATCAAACCTAATCTATTCTTAAGTATTCTCTTGACAGTAATATTATTTACCTTAACACACATATAATTTATATGCTAGAATTTGTATTTAGACTGAATTGTGTCAGGTAAATAAAGTTTAGTTTTAATCCCAGTTACAATATTTCTGATTATGGTTTAACTCAGGTTAGATACACTAACAGTCAAGCTGTTACACGATATTAGCAATTAGTATGATATGGCTGGCTTAGTCATTACTAATGCAAAATAAATGTGAAACAGTTGTTTTCAGGTTGGTCTCATTTCGTTCCAGGAGGTAGGATTTTATTATTTTGATACAGAAGTCCATTGTCTCATTGAACCATGATTATGCTTTCTGACTTAAAGGTGGTTTTTAAAAAGGTATTTATATATAAGCTTCCTCATTAGCAGGGTTGGAACTCTCTGTCTGGGGCTCCGGTCCATTTTCCTGGACTTTGATGATGGCCACAGGCTGAATCATTATTCTAAAACGCTGGAAACGCACACAAAGTACCGAGTTCAGAAGCAGTTCCTGCATTGTTCTTCATCTGCACTTCTATGAATGGTCTGGATACTCATACCCCACCTTGAGACGTCTTACCTCTCTGGAGGTGCCCTTGAGCGTGAGGAACATGTAGCCCATGTATCCTGGTATGAGCACCATGGAAGACAGTGCCATGGACCAGCCCACGCCCTGTCCCCAAGCTGGAAACACGTAGTTGTTCAAGGTGAGGGGGACCATCTGGACAGCGCTGAAGAGGAACACCCCCTGGCAGGCAATGAATCATTGTATATAAAGCATGTCAAACGTGACAGAGGAAACCACTGGTTACACAGTGACGTATTAATGCATATGGAAAATGGGTGGACGGATATCTTCAAATATCAATAAACTGAATAATGATACATAAACCTATTACAAACTAAGACCTAAAGTTTTTTCACTCCGTTCTTTCATGTGTAACTAATAAAGGCATGTTTTAACCAGATGTCATCTTTCCATCTAAACTGTGCCTGTATTACAGCTATACTCAGGTATCACATTATTTATCAAACAGTATAAGAAGGATATAGAATTATGTTGTTACACTGAGTGTGAGGGTGAGCCCTGCAATCATCAGGGACCCCCCCCCCCCCACGGAGCCTTCTGCCTAGTAGCCTGCACTTCCAGGCTTACTCTGGCCCTGTCTTCTGTGAAGTCGGGGGCTGTTATTTCAGTGATGTGGGTGCTGTAGGGTGGAAGGTGAGGTTGAATGATTTTCAGAAATAGGACTTACAGCTACAATGAGAGGAGTAAACACCACCCAGCACAGCTTCCACCAGATGCACGGCTTATAGCCAATCATCTCCTTGATATTGTCATAGAACTTGTTGACACCTGACACAAGAAAATTATTTACAAGATTATAACACAGGACTGTAACATTGCAAAGCTAAATTCTTTTATTTTATGTTTGACTGATGTTTGAACTGAATCATTCTTAATGTGATTCGATATATTCACTATTAGCCACTAACATTTACTACATTTATTGTAAGAGGTTACCTGCTAGAGGGATGCAGTTGAATTGGTTAGTTGTTTTCAGTACTCACCATAGCACCAAGAGATAGAAATGCACTCAAAGAACACTAAGAACAGTAAACACATTCCACTGGCCGAATAGTAGTCAAACAGCTTGAATACGTAGATGCCACCCTGAGGACAAAACAGGAACATAATACTCAAAATATTACAGTAAGATTGGCCATGCATTCAATAATAAATATACTCATATAAATATACTCACAAGTGTACTAAAAAAGTGTTAGTCTTCTTGACAAAAACTATGACGAAAAGAATTCGACAACAAAGATTTTTGACATAAGATGATAATGAAATAAAAACTAAATTATGATGCCAAAAACTATGATGAAAGGTACTGACACTTTCGTCAATGAATAAAAACAAGATTGAAATGTCAGGAAGAGATTAATTTCAAACTGTGCCAATCAGCAGTAGCATTTTACTTAGTGTTGATTGAAGTTGCTCATGATTGGATAATGTTTACCTATCCAGCTTCAACAGTGTAAAAACTGCAGTTTTGTTCTCTAACATCTGTCTGCAAACTATTGTGTCATTATGTCTGTGCTCGGCTTGAGTAAATTTTATCATGGGAAATCAATGTCAGCTTGGTGAATTTTGGCAAGGTTTAAAAATACAGGAATACTGTTTCTTTTGGAAATACCATCAAAATACTATATATTGAAAACTAAGATTCCACCAAAGCCTAGTCTTTGCTACAGTCAGTTTTAGGTAGGAAAAAATGTTCTGATATATGGATAAATTTCACATTTGATGTAAAAGAAAACAAGACTTAGTACCCGTGTGGAATGGCAGTAATGGGAAACATCACTACAAACAAAGTGCCATGAAATGAATAGAAACAAATTAGTTGATTTCTCTTTTAATGTGTTTGAAAAGTTCACTGCCATAATCTGAGCTAGGTGTAGAAATAAGCACATCCCAGCTGCTTTTCACTACTCTGACACTTGTTTATGTTTTTAAGAGAGGACACTTCAGTTTTCTCTATTCAAGTTTCCCCGCAATGCTGTGTTTTCTTATGAATGAAGATGTGTCATATGCATATAATTTTGGTTTTATGATAAATAAAATTATTCATAAAGTTCACATAAAGCCATTATACATTTTAGAATTAGTGCAGCCTTACAACAGTTAAATCTGCGTCCTTAAAGACTGCATGTCCAACCCTAATGGCATTAAATAATAACAGCTTTGCCTCAGTTTCCTTCAGGAATTCAGAGGTGGACCAATCTGAGTGCATGTAAATGTGTACACAGAAAACCAAGTGAAAAATTCAATGAAATGCAAAAATGACATATTAGATTAACTAAACCTGTTTGTTTCACTGACTGCATGTACTATAGATGTAGTCAACTAAATCTACAGTATCCTTTAATTTTCCTTGACTAAAACTGAAAATAAAAATCAGACGACTAAAATGAGACTACAACTAAATCAGAATATGCCGTCAAAATTAACGCTGTTCAGACCACAAAGCAGAAAATCCAGGATCAATATTCTTAAGTTAAAAATCAGCCACATACTTTATTAGACATTAAAAATAATATTGTCTAAAGAATAAAATGTAAATAAATACACTATAAGTAATTAATATTAGACCCTTATGACGTATGTGACTGTTCTGACACAACAGAAGGGTAGGATTCATGCTTTACCTGTGTGATGTTAGAGAGACCAATCACATAGGAAACAAGGCAGACCCCAGCAATGAAGAGCTCTCTCCTTGTTCTCAGCAGCTTTGGGAACTCGTCCACCAGGGCTGTGATGAAGCCTTCCACAGTGCAGAACTGCATGGACAACAAGCACATTATCAGAGATGGCTGAGGTCTTACTAACAACTTTCCTGTGGGCTGAATGTTTTTTTTATTTCATCATGCATGTACTGCAGCTGCACATTCTATCACGGGACAAAGAGAGTACATCCTTCTTCAGTATATTGCCAACTTTTAGAAACAAACTTATCTGACCTCAGGTGTAGCGAAATGGTTTTCAGTAGCCATTTCCTTACATGGCATAGGTGACATCAGTGGAAAACAGGGGTGTTTCTAGCTACTGAGAAAAACCAGGGGCTAAGTCGAGTTTTTTTTTTTTTGAGGGAAGACTGGCATAGGGGGTAAAATTCTCAGGGCTATAGCCCAAAATAATCGGACCTAATGACACCCATGGTGGCAAATCATCAACATGATGCTAAATAATTAGTTTCAATAAAAAAAAAAAACCCTATGGCACTGTTTCATTATTTTTTTACTCATAATTTATTCAAACTGACATTTACTGTAAGTCTTATTCAAAGACTGACTAAAACTAGTAAATTCTAAAATAAATTATGAAAGCATTTTTTACGTGAAAAAAATTAGAATGTAGTCATACAATGATTGGTCTATTTATATGCAACAGCTGTGAATTCAAGAGAAATAAATATAACCCCCTCGTATATGGTTGGGGACATTGAATTGTAATTTAGCTGTTCAAAATCATCACAAGTCTCAGCAAAACAAACTACCAAACTAGTTTTTTATTCTAACCAAGTTGAAAGTGAATAGCTATCTTACAATGCATTAATATATCATTGTAACTACAAGTTCTATAGTGAATTAATGGCATAAATCTATCTATTTTATAATAAATTCCAATGGGGGGCTGAGGTATAGTTCAGGGATATCCCTCCCAGCATTCCTGGCAGCATATATAATTCATTTAGTTATGCACTGTGTTTTTTATCAGCTTTATTGTATTTATGTTTTATATTTTACTGACTATAGGTTGTGTGTTCATTGTTGTTTTAAATTCTGTTATTGTCTTCATACTATCCACCATTGAGGTGATGAGTCTGTGTTATGCTGAGTCTGTGTTTGGAACAAGAAAGTGTTGCTTGCCCCCTATAGTGTACAGTCCCAATATAGAGCCACAGTATTATATAGTTAGTATGAAATGTTTTTAAGTGCAGTGACCTCATAAAACCATGAAAGTTTGAAGTCTCATTTGAGACTCTTTTATATTTACAGACTATGTATGTGTGTATGCATTTTTGTGTGTGTGTGTGTGTGTGTGTGTGTATTTTACAATAGAACTTTTTAATAGTTTACTATAAGAGATTCGCATCAGTTCTAATTGTGATTTGTCAGCTATTCACAGCCATCTTGGAGCTTCAACTTCTAATGGATTCATGACAGTGAAACTCAGCAGCTCTTCTTACACCAAACGTATTTTGTATCTACCAGTTGCCATTAAAAAAAACCCATCAAATTTCAGTTCTTGACTTACTTCATTTACCATGATCTCTCTTAGAGGTTCTATTGTGAAATAATCATCACATTCAAATGACCAGATTCATCCATCCATCCATCAATTCATCCATCCATCCACCCATCCTCCGCTTATCCAGGTCAGGCTTGCAGGGGCAGCAGTCTGAGCAGACATGCCTGGATCTCCCTCTCCACAGCCACCTCCTCCAGGTCCTCTGGGGGAATACTGAGGTGCTCCCAGGCCAGTTGGACGTGCCAGAAGTACCTCCCAGGGAAACATCTTGGAGGAATACTAGACAGATGCCTGATTCACCTCAACTGGCTGTTTTCAATGCCAAAGGAGAAGCAGCTTTACTTTGAACCTCTCCCAAATATACAAGCTCCTCACTGCATCTCAAAGGCTGAACCCAGACAAATGGGCTCATTTCCTCTGCTTGTATCAGCGATCACATTCTTTTGGTCACAACTTAGAGCTCGTGACCATAGGTGAGGGTAGGAACATAGATCGCCGTTTGGCCCAGCTTTCTTTTCAGCATGACAGACTGACACGATGTCAACGTATCTGCTGAGTCTGCACTGATCCGCCTGTCAATCTTCTGCTCCCTTCTCCCCTCACTCATGAATAAGACCCCAAGTTACTCAAACTTCAACTGATCACCACCTGATGCTGCATTGGATAAGATAGCAGGGGAAAATGCCAGACAGATCAGGCAGACCTAAATGTATAGTAAGGGTGTGCTGGGGCAACAGGTAGAGCTGCTCAAGCATTGTGTTCATTATGAACAAACTGTGGTTAACAATTACGTTCAATAATGGAGCACTGTTGGGGTTCAGATCTGACAGCCCATTCCTCCTGATCGCACCTTTCCAGGTTTCACTACACAGACAACTGTCAGAGCCTATCCTCCAACTGGAAGTGGAAGGAGACCCTCTTTCACTGGGATTAACTCCAATGTACAAGCACCAAACTAGGGGGTTATGAGTAAACCAGCTCCTGCCCAAAGTCTTTCACTTATGGCAATTCCAGAATGGAATAGAGTCCAGTCCTTTTCCAGGAGTTTTGTTTCAGAGCTCGTGTAAGCGATGAGGTGACCCCGACCATATCTAAGTACACTATATTGACAAACATATTGGGAGACTTAGCCATTACATCTGCAGGAATTTTTTTGACATCCCATTCTAAGTGCATAGACATCAATATGGAGTTTTTGGAGTGTGTTTGTGGGAATTTTTGCCCATTCATTCAGAAGAGCATCTGTGAGGTCAGGCACTGATGTTGGATGTGAAGGCCTGGCTTGCAATCTCTGTTCTAGTTCATTACAAAAGTGTTTGATGGAGTTGAGGTCACGCCTCTGTGCGGGCAGTCAAGTTCTTCCACACCAAACTCACCCAACCAAGTCTTTGTGAACCTTACTTTGTGTATTGGCGGACAACCATGGTGAAACAGAAAAGGTCCTTCCCCAAACTGTTCCCACAAAGTTGGAAGCATAGAATTGTCCATAATGTCTTGGCATGCTGAAGAATTAACAATATCCTTCACTGGAACCGAGGGGCCTAGCCCAACCCCTGAAAAACAACCCCCATACCATTATCCCTCCTCCACAAAATTTACATTTGGCACAATCAGGCAGGTAACGTTCTCCTGACATCTGCCAAACCCAGACTCGTCCATCAGATTGCCAGACAGAGAATGTGATTTGTCACCCCACAGAAAACGTTTCCACTGCTCCAGAGTCCAGTGGCAGTGTGCTTTACACCACTGCATCTGATGCTTGGCATCACGCTTGGCGATGTGAGGCTTGCATGCAGCTGCCTGGCCAGGGGAGCCCATTCCATGAAGGTTCTGGCTCACAGATTTAGAGCTGGGGTTAATGCCAGAGGAAGTTTGGAACTCTGCAATTATTAAGTCAACAGAGCGTTGGCGACTTTTACCCCCTACGTGCCTCAGCACTCAGTGACCCTGCTCTGTTACTTTACGTAGTCTGCCTCTTCATGGATGTTACTCTTGTTTGTGAATGCTTCCACTTTGCAATAATATAACTTACAGTTGACTGTGGAATATCTAGCAGGGAAGAAATTTCATGAACCGACATACTGCAAAGGTGACATCCTATGACAGTACTACGCTTGGATTCACTGAGCCCTTCAGAATGACCCATTCTTTCACAAATATTTGGAAACTAGGTGCTTGATTTTATACCCCTGTTGCAATGGGTCTGATTGGTCACCTGAATTCAATGATTAAGAGGTGTGTCCCAGTATTTTGTACTTATAGAATATTCCTCTACCTCCTGTAGTAGCTCAGACTCCTTTTCCACCAGAGAGGTCACATTCCCTAAATTCAGTTCTGGCAACCAGGTATCGGCCTGCAAGGCCTCTGCTTCCAAGTGCCATCCGATCCACAGTGCACCAGAGCCTTCGGGCTCCTCCTCCGGGTGGTTGGCTCAACAGAGCATGGTCCCACGTGGCTTATTCGGGCTGTGCTCCACCACCGGGCCCTCACTGATGAGCTCCCCCCTCAGGCCTAGCTCCAGGAACAGCCCCTGGCATCCCTGTGTTTATGTTTTTCATAATGGTTGTTTAAAGTGTCCATAGTCTGGCTCCTCACCTAGGGTATATTTGCCATGGGAGACCCTACCAGGGGCAATTGTCCACTCCTAGGATCATTGGAACAGACACACCCCTCCACCCCAGTAAGGTGGCCATTCATAGACATCTTGGTCTTAACCACCACATGAGATCTTTGACTACACCAAAAACAGGTGAAGAAAGGTCAAAGGGTACAGTATGTACATAAGCACTCTTGGGGAAAAAAAAGTCATCTTGAACTTCTACCTGACTGTCAATTCCAAGCATAAGGAGCATGGAGAAGAACAGAACTGCCCACAGTGGAGATACAGGTAACTGCGTCACAGCTTCTGGATACGCCAAGAAAGCCAAACCAGGACCTGCAATGAAAAAAAGAACTTTGGGTAAACCTGGTGTCATAAGCCGGTATGTGTGTGTGGAGTGCTAATAGTGGTGAGGGAAATGATAGCAGTAACAGCAGCGGCTCAAGAAGTTGTGAACGCATACTGTTCTGAGAAATGGGGCTTAATCCCCCATAAGGATGACACTGAAACAAAACTGCGGGTGGTATCAGGTGCGATTACCAGAAGCAGCCACATCGGCAATTGGCCTCTTTGTGACATTTGCCATAAAGCCGACAATGGAGAAGATGACGAAGCCAGCGAACATACTGGTGAAGGAATTGATGCAGCATACAATGACAGAGTCTCTGTGGGACATACACACCACAGTTTAGTATTGTTAGCAAGAGATATTGATCAATTTCTTTCTTGCTTTTTATTTGTTCTCTAGCCATCTAGAGTGTCTTTCCAAACCCAGAGCAGTTTATACTTTCAATACATTTAGATGTCTCACATTTGTAGATTAGACAACACAGGTAGAAAAGCACACATAAACCTCTTCTGTGTTAAAATCTGACAAGGAATATAAATGCAGCTGCTTTTAAGTAAGACATTCACCAAACCAGTAACAAACAAGCCAAGGACCAGATCTGTTAAGGTTGTTGTGAATGACATCTGTACCTGTACACATTGTTGTTGAAAGTGTTGTAGCTCCCAAGAGCAATCAATGACCCCAGGCCCAAACCATAGGAGAAAAAAATCTGAGTAGCAGCATCGAGCCACACCTGACATAAGGGACAGTGAATTTAGTAATAGAATAGTGGAGAATAGGAAGCCTTTACAGACAAGAAACATGTTGAAAAGAACTCAATTTCTCTTAAAGATTGTAATGACATTTAACAGAAACCTCTGACTCTTTAAGTTTGGTGAAGTCTGGTGTAACGTAGAAGAGGATTCCATCTTTTGCTCCAGGAAGTGTTATTCCCCGGACAAACAAGATGAACAGCATTATATAGGGGTATGTGGCAGAGAAGTACACAACCTGGAAGAGAAAAAGAGAGAAAAGCACGTCACACCATAATTTAATGTGCCCCCCAAATGTTTTAATGTTCATCTTATTTGAATTATCCACCCATCTATGTATTATCTGGGGTCAGGTCATGGGGACAGCAGTCTAAGCAGGGATGCCCAGCCACCTCCTCCAGCTCCCCTGGGGGATCCCAAGGCTTTCCCAGGCCAGGCCAGAGATATAATCTCTCCAGCGTGTCCTGGGTCTGCCCCGAGGTCTTCTTCTGGTTGGACATGCTCAAAGCACCTCCCCAGGGAGGTGTCCAGGAGGCATCCTACAGTACATAGATGCCAAAACCACCTCAACTAGCTCCTTTAGATGCAGAGAAGCAGCAGCTCCACTCTGAGCTCCTCCTGAATGTCCAAGCTCTTCACCCGATCTCTAAGGCTGAGCCCAGACACCCTGCAAAGGAAATTATTTCTGCCACTTGTATCGGCGATGTCATTATTTTGGTCCTTACCCAAACCTCGTGAGCATAGGTGAGGGTAGGAACGTCGATGAACTGGTAAATCGAAAGCTCTTCATCTGGCTGAGCTCTTTCATTACCACGACAGAACAGTACAGCATCTGCATTACTGTTGATGCTGCATCAATTGGCCTGTTGATCTCCTGCTTCCTTCTTCCCTCATTCGTGAATAAGACCCCAAGATACTTAAACCCTTCTGCCTGAGGTAGTAACTACTCCCCCACCAGGAGAGGGCAATCCACCCTTTTCCAGTCAAGAACCATGACTTCAGACTTGGAAGTCCTGATCCTCATCCCGGCCACCTCAGCTGCAAACTGCAGTGCAGCAGTGCATGCTGCAGGTCACAGCCTGCCAACGCCAGCAGCACTGCACCATCTGCAAAAAGCAAAGACTTGACCCTGAGGCCCCAGAAATGGATCCCCTCCACCCCTTGGCTACACCTAGAAATTCTGTCCATAAAAGTTATGAACAGAATTGGTGATAAAGGGCAGCCCTGGTGGATTCCAACACCCACTTATACTAGTGGACAAAATTGTGGAAATACCTAGTATTTTTGGCATTGCACTTTAAAAATTACTACACTAATATTGGCAATATTTTTTATAAACAAAGAATGTTAAAAAATATACACTTGATGATTAAAAATGTAACTGGAACAGCAGTTCTGCAATTTCAGCAAGTTCTGCAATCTCTAAAAATTGCCTCTCCAAACTCCTCCCACACCTGAGCTTTTGCTTCAGTATCTGCCGAAGCTGCCAGTAACTGTCAGCATCTTGAGGAGACCCACACGCTAACCAAGCTGGGAAGGCTTCAATCTTCAGCCTGACTATTCTCACCAGCAGGTTCGGCGATTGCCACCGTGACAGGCACCAACAACCTTATGGCCACAACTCCTCACTGCTGCTTCTGCAATGGAGTCCCAGAACATGGCCCTTATGTCCTCATTGTCCTCTGACTTCCTCCGGATGCAAGAAAGCTGGATACTCAGAGCTGGTGTTTTGTGCATATACTGTACTATGCGCAGACAACAGACAGAGCCCATCTCCCGAAAGAAGGCAACCCTCTCATTCATTGGGGTAAACTCCAACGTACTGGGTCCAAACCAGGGGGGGCATAAATAGACCCACACCTGCCTAGCACCTCTCAGCATGGGCAACTCCAGACTGTAATAGAGTCCAGCCCTTCTCCAGGACTTTGGTTCCAGAGCCAAAGCCATGCATTGAGGTGAGCCCAACAATATCTAGTCAGTATCTCTCTACTGTACCTCCACTAGCTCAGAGTCTTTTCCCACCCAGAGAGTTATGTTCCTTGTGCCAATAGCTAGATTTTGTCACTGATTATCGGTCTGCCAAGGCCCCTGCCTTCGACTACCACCCAGTCTACACTGCACCTGACCCCCACGGCTCCCCCTGCAGGCGGTGGGCCCACAGGAGGGCGAACCCATGTTATTCCGATCACCAGGCTCTTGCCCACATGCTGTCCCCCCAGGCTTGGCTCCAGAAAAGGGCCCTGGTCATGGATGTTGTTAGGTCCACTGACTCGGTGCTATAGCCCCGAGTATTTTACCCCCAATGCCAGTCTTCCTTCAAAAAAAAGTTAAGCCTTGAATAAACTTCACTTAGCCCCTGATTTCTGTCACATCCCTCTTTATGCTAATCATTCCCCTGTCCGGGCAGTATCACATCCCTCTTTATGCTAATCATTCCCCAGTCCAGGCAGGGTCACATCCCTCTTTATGCTAATCATTCCCCAGTCCAGGCAGGGTCACATCCCCCTTTATGGTAATCCTTCCCAAGTCCAAGCAGGGTCACATCCCTCTTTATGGTAATCCTTCACCAGTCCAGGTAGGGTCACATCCCTCTTTATAGTAATCATTCCCCAGTCCGGGCAGGGTCACATCCCTCTTTATGCTAATCATTCCCCAGTCCGGGCAGGGTCACATCCCTCTTCATGCTAATCATTCCCCAGTCTGGGCAGGATCACATCCCTCTTTATGCTAATCATTCCACAGTCCAAACGGAGTCACATCCTTCTCTATTGTAATCATTCCCCAGTCGGGTTGGGTCACATCCCTCTTTATGGTAATCCTTCCCCAGTCCGGGCAGGGTCACATCCCTCTTTATGCTAATCATTCCCCAGTCCAGGCAGGGTCACATCCCTCTTCATGCTAATCATTCCCCAGTCTGGGCAGGATCACATCCCTCTTTATGCTAATCATTCCCCAGTCCAAACGGAGTCACATCCTTCTCTATTCTAATCATTCCCCAGTCGGGTAGGGTCACATCCCTCTTTATGGTAATCCTTCCCCAGTCTGGGCAGGGTCACATCCCACTTTATGCTAATCCTCATGTCTTTGTAGAATATCAAAACAGTACATAAAATTAGAATGCAAAAAGTTTATGTCTGGTTGGACATAAATAGATAAAGTATAAACATTAAAATACAGTATCAATATATATTTTACATTATTTTCATTGGTGAATTTTAATATTCATGTTTCTTATTGCATTAAATCTTTTTTTCAGTTCCAGTCATATTCTAATTAATGAAATATGACATATTATGAAGAATGAAATGACCGATGTACCCCCTTATGTAATAAGTCCTGACGTACCCCCTTTTCAGATGCCTGCCTCGACAGAGGGAAACATCACTGGCTGTCTAACAAAGCCATATAAGCTGCTTACCTTTCCAGTCCAGCTAACTCCTTTCCAGATACAGAAATACACAAGGACCCAGGCAATAGCCAGGGTTACTGCCAGCGGCCATCGAATGTGTCCTGGCTTCTCCAGACCATCGGTCATCTGGTGCATATTGCGCCTTTGATAACAGAAAGGACATTGGTGAAGTCCTTGTCAGTGAGAATAGGTTAAGTTGTACAAGTTGATTTATCCAGTTTAACGTTTTATATGCCAACAAAAGGCAGTGACAAATATATAAACAGTGCACATGGAGGAAACATCTTACTCCCAGAATTCCATGACAGCACTGGTAAGATTTGTCGTGTCCGCAATGCTGTGGTTTGAGTAGCATTTCTCTGTATTCCATGGATTGTTACATGATTTCCATGGAAGTTCCTGCAGAGAAAGAAAAAAACATAGGTCATGTAAAAACATAGATCATGTAGTCCAAGGACTGTGGCCATTTTAGTATGTTTTCCTGTTAATACTTACCATATTTAAGTATTGTAATGCCTCATATATGCCTGTCTGATACATAATTTAATACAATAGACCTATAATAAGAAATGTATAGAAGTACTTACTGCAGTAAAGGAGTTATACAGGTAGAAGATGGCCCATGCAATAATTACGACGTAGTAAATGTTTAGCCAGAAAGACAGAACAGCAGCTGCCAGGCCAACACCTAATGTACAGAAAATCACATTTTTAAACGTTAGAAACATACAATATGAAAGCGTTACATAGTTATAATAAATATATGATTTACGAGTAAACCATAGGATTCGGTCATACACTAATCCGCATGCTGCATGTCATTCAAGGAACGTGTTATGATTGTGTCAAATTGTTGCAAAAAAAAATCTAGGAATAATTTGCAAAGGCATAACTTAAAATGTCTACCTTTGAACATCGGGGCCAGCTTCCAGACTCCGAGTCCGCCGATTGACGTGTATTGACCGAGGGCACACTCCAGGAAAAACAAGGGCATTCCAGCAAATATCAGGGTCAAAAAATATGGAATTAAGAAGGCTCCTGGAAATACAAGTAAACATGCAACGTAACCGCCAATGCATACATTGTTGGTTACGTTGCATGTTTATGACAGATGTAGTGAACATTTCTTTAAAAACCTGCTACCAAATCTGAATAATATTTTAAGTCGATGGACATATGCTTGTGGGTCTGTGCACATTCACAGAAAATTTTAAATGAAGAAAAAATACTATTCGGCAATTTCATCAATGTGTGTTCCACTTTTTAAACCCCGTTTGTGTTTATGAAAGGAAAACATCCAAGAAACGCATTTTACCTCCACCGTTTTTTCCACAGAGATAAGGAAATCTCCACACGTTTCCCAGTCCGATTGCATACCCAATGCACGACAGAAGAAAGTCAAATTTTCCTCCCCAAGTTTCTCGTTCAGGGACATCATTTTTCTTCTGCACTTTCACTACCAAGGTTTTGGGTTTGTCATTTGTAGGTGCTTCATTCATTTCCGTTAAAACATGCCCATCCGAAGTTTTATTGGCATTTGTCGTCATGTCTCTGGCTTTAGTAGAGGTTTAGCAGCTTGACGAAAGATTTCAGCACTACTCCACTGAGACAGCGGCTTCACGACTCTTCTGCTAATCTTGAGTGCAAATACTGGGCAGGGAGAATCCACGGGTGAGGCAAATTTCTGATGAAATGTAGCGTAGGCCTATAGCTAAAATAACGTACAGAAACCTTGAGATCAGTAATTGAAATTCTTATTAAAAACCAGACAAAAATGGTTATTAATATGTTACACATAAATCGTTTTAACATAGTCAAATGGATAGTAAGCAGAGAATCCTCCATTATGTAGAATACATTGATCTATTTGCAGGATTCATAGTGCATTTGCAAAATACAGAACCGATAACCTAATATGCATATTCACAATTAAGACATGTCTGAGCACTTGGATGAAAAATGAGATGCACGGTGACTGAAGCATACAGTTTGGAGTACACTACTTAAAATATTCCATCGTCATTCATATGCTTTGGTCAAGTGAAATCCACAGGAAGGTTAGTATTAAAAAATAAACAAAACGTAAACATTTATTAGGCTACGATTGTACAGCGCATGCTACCGGTGAGCCCTCAAAAACGTGGAATCCGGGAAATACGGATCCATGCAGTCAGTGATTCATTGTGTTAAAAACAGTGTGTATTCGTAAATTAAGATATGAAAACATAGTATAGGTTTAATTCTGAGCAGTCCAACTGCTTTATTTTTAAAAAGCCAATAAGATAGGACAAGATAAATACACCGTCAACTTGCGGTCCGAATATTATCAGTTAAGGTATCTGCACATATTAATTATTCTGAAAGCGCAATCGCTGCCCATCCAAATCAACTTAAAGCTAAATCAGAATACTTCAAGCAACTATGTTACCCACATTCTCGCAAGCCTTCGACAGTTTCTAAATCGGCCGAGGTAAACACCTTTCAAAGGCGAATGTCTTTTATACTATTTCTCACAAATATTTGATACCATGAAATATGCGCAAGAAATTCATTTTTACCCATATTCTGTCATCACCGTTTCTATCAAAACTCATGCGACGGCAATAGTGGAAAACACTCTTCAATAAAAAGATATGATTAAGATAACTTACTTTGAAATGACGATCCAGGATTTACTATTTTAATATTTGTCGAGTCGCACTTAGCCTAAGTTAATCACTGTCCCTATTCCCATTAAATTACTTAAAATAAGCCAAAAGGCATCGTTGGGCATAAGGCGCGCGAAAGCTTTATTGCGTGCTGCTGCTGTCCAGTACACAGTGGTGCTGAGGAGAGAGGGAAACCAGTAGCCTACGAAAAAGACCAGCTTCGCCTGGTTTCATGCTATTATTAATTCAACAAACGGAAACGTTACTTGTAGTATAAATCCCATTGCACCCCGACAGAGCGGCAATGTCATCTGAATGTCGCCCAAACACAAATAAGCACCACTGAGTTCGTAGGTGGTTTGGAGATCCAATGTCTTGTCAACATATTTGAGTTGGTATGACTGACAGCGATAGAATAAAAATTCACGTTACAATATTGGTTTACCGTTCAAAGTTATACCCCCGGACCGTAAAGACACGTTCTTTGTCACAGATGTCATTGTGGCTTTTATGAGTCTAAGAAGGTTCAGGCCATTAGAATTCATTGTAAAACATTTCGTGTTATATTTAAAAGTATAAGTATCTCGAAGATCTGCAGGATACGTACTGATACTTTAACTAAACGCTGAAATCCCCCCCCAGTAATATTCCCTTCGCGCGTCTCACCAAGATCAACGCGCTTCAACAGTGCAAACATTAATGAGGACATTGTACTATTCCAATATTTCACAGTTAAATATAACAACTGACAGAATTAAGTCCTGATAGCTTCTGCTTACTTACAGATGTAATGAGGAATCTGCGTTTTTGACATAAAATAAGGGTTATATTAGGCTATGCTCTTTTACAATTTTATAAACAAAGACGGGCATTGTAACTACCTATCTAAAATCATTTGTAGGCCTATAATATAAGCAAGAAAATAGGACGAAATAGCGCTACGAAACTTGCGAAAAATCATCGTATCGATGTAGGACGGAAACTGAGCATCGTCATAACATCTGAAGAATAAAGCAAAATAATCAGATCGAAAAGATGTATGACTGAAAATGTAATTCGGTGCTAAGGTAGATCGAAAGAGCGTGGAAACTAGAATACACGTGTAAAAGATTAAAGATAAAAATCAAAGATTAACTTCAGTTTTTCTGGTCTAGCTCAGTAAATATCTACAGAGACTGTAGCTTATTTCCGCCAGCAAACACCAGCTTTATTTAATATAAAACTCTAACATCTGGCATGACACTCACGCTTTCGGACTCTCACGCCCAGGCAAGAAATCTTATGGCAGATCCATGTTATTCCATTATAAACCCAAAATTAAATACATCAAAAGCATTGGGGTAGTTTGCATGTCATACAGTCTAACAGGGTAATAAAACTCTTACATACATGTGAATGCGTGTGCAGACTTGTCTCGAATTGAAAATCTCGCTACAGCCAGCTTACCAAAGTTGGCAACCCTGCTATATGGAAATTTTATGTAAATAATTTACAAAACTTATATCCTTGATTCATTCCTTCGTTTTGTCATTAAGTTATTTTTACATGTGTTTTATCAGGCTTATGTACAGACTCATAAGATCATATTGTAGCGTGGGTGGGATTTGCATATCCCGGCATGCTCGTGGAACGGGTGTATAGTCCCGTGTTTGTATTCTTGTAAGTAGCGGTATTTGTTAGTGTAAATACTTGTGTGCTCCTGACATTCGTATGTACGCTTACCTGTGCTGTGTATGTAATCTCGACGTGCAACAGTGGTGACATACTGTGTGTGAGCCTTTCCATCTAGTCAGTGACCTTCCCATATATCGTTAACGGGCATCTTTTATAGGTAATTTTATGTTAGCAGGAGAGTAGCTAGACGTTTTGGAACCCCTGACAAAATATCACCTTGCTCCCCCCCCCCACCCACATTACACTATATAACTTTGTAATGTTTGTATTCAAGGGCCACCGTAAAGCGCTGGGTCCCCTCAGTCAGTCAGGGTATCCATGCCCCTCCAATGGTCCTGCATGCCGGCCTTCCTTTTAACGTCTTTTGCATCTATAACGGATATGTTACATACAAGTGCTGTGAGTGAAATTCCTTTCAGCTCATATTTAATAGCTTGGCATTGGCAGAATGTTGAGGGCTAATTTCAAATGCAGGGAAAGACGGCACCCGCACTGAATGAAGTAAACTCTGTAACACCAGACTGGTGCAGTGGTTACTGCTGTAGCCTCACATACAGTACCTGGGACCACGGTTTCCTCCAGGTACTCTGGTTTCCCCCCACAGCCCAAAAACATGCTGAGGTAAACTGGATTTACCAAATTGTCCTTTAGGTATGAATGGTGTGTGTGCCCTGGGGTGGGCTGCAGCCCCGTCCTGGGTTATTCCCTGCCTGGTGCCTGGACCCCCCCCCCCTCGCCCCTGAATAGGCCAGGCAGGTATAGAGAATGAATGGATGTTTTTTGTTTTTTTTTGTTGTTTCAGTTGGAATGTTCTTTTCTAGCAGTGGTTCTTTGTTAATGTGGGATGCCACCCCCTCCCAATATCTAGAAAAGAAAGTCTACTTAAACATGTCAAACATAGAATAATTAGATAATGCAGAATGACTATGACATGAATTTGTACATTTTTACAATGCCTGCCCATGTTAATCTGACAGCATTCATTAAGAATTGGTTCCTAATTGTATTTGGCTAATTTCCTGTTGAATACCAACACTTTCTAGGTGAAGGGCACTGGCCAAATGAGAGTCTCCATCCATCCATTTTCTGTAACCACTTATCCTATTCAGCGTCATGGGCCGAACCCAGAGGCTATGGGCCCAAGGCAGGGAACAACCCAGGATGGGGAGCCAGCCCATCGCAGGGCACACTCACACACCATTCACTCACACTCACATGCCATTCACTAACACTCACAAACCATTCACTCACACTCACAATCATTCACTCACACTCACACACCATTCACTCACACTCACACACCATTCACTCACACTCACACACCATTCACTCACACTCACATGACATTCACTCACACTCACACACCAGTCACTCAGACATGCACACCCATGGGCAATTTGGCAGCCCTAATTAGTCTCAGCATGTTTTTGGACTGTGGGGGGAAACCGGAGTACCCGGAGGAAACCCCACTAAAACGGACGAAGAACACACCAACATGTAGCCATGGCGGAGACTCAAACCCTGGTCCCAGAGGTGTGAGACAGCAACGCAAACCACTGTGCCACTGTGCCCTCCCCCACGTAAAAATATATGATATTAAATATTGGCCTCTGTTGTCATTAATTTCAATAGCCTAGCGGGATATATTTTCTTCTTTCTTGGTTGGGTCGGGATCTCCATCCCAAACAAAACTGGAGTGGCATAGTCTGTGGAAATATAATAGCGCCCCCTACCCATCACAACTGGTTTGGCATCCCCCAATGTCTGCACAATGTATTTCAAGAGCAACACCAAGTTAATGAGGTCACTATGCGACATTTAGCCTACTGTTATTTTTCCCGAATAGACTATATAATCCACAACAGCCTTATACTACATATATTTATATAATACTGTTTCAAACCATACAAACAATTCCATCCATCCATTGTCCAACCCGCTTATCCTACTGGGTCGCGGGGGGTCCGGAGCCTATCCCGGAAGCAATGGGCACGAGGCAGGGAACAACCCTGGATGAGGGGCCAGCCCATCGCAGCATACAAACAATTTATTTATTAAATTAATAAAAATTTATGAAAACAACTATTTAAAAGTGTTTATTATTTTAAATATTGACAACATGTCAAAGAGTAACAATAGGCCTAACAGTTATGCTGAACTGATTAAAATAAAATTACTGAACAAAAATGTGCTCATTGAAACACTTTAGCTTATGTAGTCCCCATAAAGATATAATTA